TGTTGGTTGTGTGGTTTTTGTTAGTTTTATCCCGGCCGCATCTTCGTGGTGACAATCTAGACCCGTACGTTTTCTAGCCGTTGCCATCAACAATGCTTAATAATATCTTTGCTAATCAGATTAAAACAATGAGTAATGCAACAGATATTTATAATATTTTTATATTTTGAGCAAATTATATATCTTGCAGATGCTATATTAGCTCCATTATCACTAATTATTGCTGAAATTTTATCTTTACCAATACGATTTATAATTAATTCAATTTGGCTAGCCAGAAACTCTGCTGCATGAGATTAATTAGAATAATTTTCGAGTTCGTAGAGATATTCTTGTCATGATGGTGTTATAATAACAAAATTCCAAATTAATAACCCATTAAGAACAGTTCAACCATCAAGGCCGATAGTAAGATTGCTTGTATATTCTAAAATTTTATCAACTTTGTAAATAACTTTTACAACCTCTGAATCTAATAAGCGTCCTGAAAGAACTTCATGTGTTGGAATACTATAACCAGGATTTAGAAGCTTTAAAGCACTTCTAAAAAAAGGATCATGGATAATGCAAAAAGGAATACCACACATAACAAAAGCTAATGTAATAATAGCCTCATCGATTAATGATTGCATAGGTACTTCAATTTTCATAGAATCATACCAATTAGTTAATTCAGATTGTTTGGCTATTTTTTTTTGTTTAGCTAAAAGTAAATTAGCATTTGTTATAGGTTCGTCAGAATATCTTCTAAATTATTAACTATAATGTAATTAAAATGGCGTTACTATTCTTCAGAAACTTTTTTACAACTATTAGCAAGATGTGCTTACAAGGTATGTGGTTTAGCATGTGGATAAAATTGTCCACAATATGAACAAGTTCCTTCCCAATGACTATCACCTTTAGGTTGAACTATTTCAAAAAATTTCTAAACACCTGTTCGTGGACGTTCTGATTTTGAATTATTAGAACTTCTGGACTCCGTTTTAGTATCTGCATCACTTGAATTGTTAGTTTGCTTTTGTTTTTGTTTGGTCATTTAATTAATTTAAAATGTTTTAACAAATTTATAAAGGGTTTATAGCAAAATTTTTATTGTTTATACAAGCTAAATATATAAGTTCTAAATAGATTTCTGTACGTACAAGTTAAAAATTAATCAGACTTTAATACAAGATATTTATATTATGCTAATATGAAAGAACGCATTCTTCAGTATTTTATAAAAGTATTATAAATCTTGCATGTCACTTTATACAAACTAGTATTGACAATAACACTAAATTGGGTTTATCAAAATTCGCAAAAATTTAATCTTGGTAAGTTCTATAGATACAATCCAAACTTATATAATTTCAGAAATTTTTATTGTTTAATCAATAATAAATCTCCAAATTGCATAAATCTGGACACTCTACCATAGAACATATAACGTAACATTAATCCAGTTATTTAAAAATATTTAAATTTTAATTCGTTTCCAGTATGCAAAATTCTTGAATTATCAGGCTATAAAATAAGGTTATCTTCAATTATTGTATAGTGTTGATTAAACCGAAATTTCTAATATATTTGGAAAACTCTTAATATACAATAATTGAAGATAATCTTATTTTGTAGCTTGATAATTCAAGAATTTTGCATGATAGAAACGAATTAAAATTTGTAGTAATCTTAAATAACTAGATTAAAAATATTATATTATATATTCCATAGTAGAGTGTCTAGACTTATACAATTTTGGAATTATTATTGTTTAAACAATAAAAAATTCCTGAAATTGTATAAGTCTAGACATGTTATCCATAGAACTTACAAAGATTAAATTTTTACAGATTTTGATAAACCCAATTTAGTATATAAACAAGATTTATAATTTTTTTATAAAATAGAATACATCTTTCATATCAGCATAATATAAATATTTTTATTAAAGTCTAATTAATTCTTAAACTTGTGTATACAGAAATATATATTTAGAATTTATAAAATCAGAGACATCTTTCCAGATGTATGCAAATACATATGGTAACTTTTAAGTAATTTTAAGGGTTTTCCAAATATATTAGAAATTCTGGCTTGATTAGCACAATTACTTAAAAGTTATTATATATATTGACATATATCTGTAAAGTTGGGTAAGAGGCACGGCAAAATTTTTAGACATGCACAGAGGGGCATGTCTTTAACTAGATACCTTTGTGCCCGGACATACCCACATCAATATATACAACCAATTAGAAAGCAAACAAGCATGTGATCATGCATATTTGTGATTTAATTAGCTGATAAAAAAGATCTGACTAATAGTTCTAATCTAAAACTAATTATAATGCTAATTCAAACAACTAAATAATCCAATAGTGGGCTTCAAGACACCTAAAACCCTGAGTAGAAGGCTACGAATAGAGGTATAGAAGACTTGGTCTGAGTTTCAAGGTCCTTTGGGGTCTTGTATTGTTGCCAGGATTAAAATAAGTCTTCTTGACTTATACTTCTTATATTATCTTGTTATTATCAGAAGATTCAACACTAATACTCTATATGCTTCACATACTGTGTCTTTCGAATCACATGTGATGTCACTTTGATAACTGTGATGATCAGTAATTCAATATTCAGTTTGAATCTAAGATCCTAAATCTACATCAAGAGCCGAGATATTTGCTGAGATTGGATCTTTAACTTATCAACTATGTCACAGGTAATTATATTAGCATGATCGATAATTTAATATTGGACTGCGATCGTTAAGATTCTTAACGTTGATCTCAGTTATGTTTTATTGTTTGAGTAATACTGATAATAATGAGGTCACGGGGATGATCAAGTATTTTACTATATAAGAGAAGTAATACGATTTCAATTCTTTTTTTTTCTTTCGATTAATTAAGACTTTTTGATATTAACAATAATTTCAGGGTAGAAATAAGCGATTTATTGGGAATAACTTTATGTCAAGGGACAAAAATTTTTAGGGAACAACTTCACTTCACTATAATGATTTCAAAGTTTTAGAGTTTTAGAACTTAGTAGAGTTTTTTATTAGTGTGAAAAGATATCACTTTATATAGTTTTTACATTACTACAGGCTCAGCAACTAATCTTATATATGCTAACAAGTTTTCTCTGTTGAAAAGATCAAGAAAATTTAATAAATTTAATAAATTAAATTTATTAAATTTTCATGATCTTTTTGATCTTCAATTCCACTAAAACAGGTATAGGTTTTTAAAAAATATATATAATTACTATATAGTCTACTTCTACTAAGCCTATATACACATGACATAACTAGTACAAAGATATAAAATAATAAAAAAAATAAAAATAGTAAAAAAAATGATTTTGGAAGTCACAGAAGCCTCTCACAATGTACTTGAGTTTAACTCCGATATTTGATATTAGAAAGACATGTAAACTAGACAATAATTCAGTGAACTCAGATATTTATGATTTATTAGGCATTTATTATATAACACTGGAAATTTTAAAAAATCTGCCACGTTGAATGGCATAATTCAGATACAATTCAACACTATCACATAATTTCACGGATATGCATATCTACAAAGTCATGTGTTAGTGTTTTGAATAACTATTTGAGTGGCATTTGAATCATGCCATTTAACATGGCAAATTTTTTCAGTATAAAAAAGTGTATATTTGTGTATTTTTTATTTAGGAATGATTTCAAAAAGCATATACTGCTATTTAACTAAGGGCAAGAGCATGCCTTTATATATATTTATTTTATAGAGCAATTACATTATAATTAGAATGTTATGCTATGAATTTGGCATCAATACTGAGGTCTTAACATTACGCTATAGATTGATCGTATATGTTATATTTTGAATATCTATGCTCTTGTATGAAGTAAGCTACCAGATTACATCACAATGCCTAATACTACCAGAGGTAAAATCAACATGACTATTATGATACAATTATAAAAGGTAAGTAACAACTTACAGAATTAGACAAATATGGAAATAGTAGACAGGAAAAATTAATCATCACAACAATAACTTCTATACAACAGCATTAGCAATAGTGATAAGAGCTTTTAGCAGGTAAATATAAAAATAATATAGTGCTAAAATAAGTTTTCAAGCCATTTGCTAATTTTGTTTTTGATTTATAATCTTAATCACATATTTAAAATATTGTATAACATTATGATGGAATATCAAAATATAAAGACACATTGTAATATGATTTTTATATAAGAATTAGTTAATAAATATTCAATACAGAACTTAATGAAAATTTACATAAAAATGCTTCGCCATACTTGTGATTGTAGTAAAGCTAAACTAAAGTTTTAATAGAAAAAAATAGCAAAGAAGTATAATAAGAACCTGGAAACAAAATTAATTGATATATTTATTCCTAGGCCTGGAGGAATTATAATTAATTGTTTTCTCAAATTTTTTTTTTCTTTGGCTCCTATTGAAGCCAAAGAAAAAAAAAATCTGAGAAAACAATTGATTATAATTCCTCCAGGCCTAGGAATAAATATATCAATTAATTTTGTTTCCAGGTTCTTATTATACTTCTATGCTATTTTTTTCATGGGCTTATTCCCAGGCTTCAGATTTATATTCATTATAGCACTTACAATCTATTATGGCAATTACAACCTATTATGGCACTTACAACCTATTATGGCACTTACAACCTATTATGGCACTTACAACCTATTACGGCATCTTACAGCAATACAATTACAACTTTGAGTATCAGTTGTAATTAGGGTTGCAACCCAGGTTGTAATCTGTAATATCTGTAATTATTACTTATGGCCAGCAACCTTACCCTAAACACTTTTATTTCATTTTTCGATTTCAAAATTTTGATATATAAATAAGGTTTTTCAAGTTATTTTTTTATTTTTTTTTTTATTCAATTTTCTAAGAATACAAATAATAATTTGAGAACACTAATTAATATTAGTATGTCTTATAAGAACAGCAATTAGACCTAAAATTTTGAACAATAATCCCAATACTAACTGTGATAAGCCATGGGTAAAGTGCTAGTTTTTTAATTTTATAATCAAAAAACTATTATCTTTATTTATCAAATAAAAATATATTTATTTGCAAATATATAAATAAGAATAAAAAAATATATTTAAATATAAAAGATAAAATAGTATAAAAAAATAAACAATATAAAAAAAATAATAATGTTGTATTTAAAAGACCATATCAGTATTTAACCTAATTTCAAATAATTTATCTTTATCATTATTATTTTTAGTTGTATCTATATTTTTATTTTTATTATCTTCAGCTATATTTATATTTTTGATTCGAGAATTATCAAGTTCATCTATATTATCATTATTATTACCTTTATATTGCATTTTTAAATTGCTAAATATATTAGATTTACTATAAGGATAAATGTCTCCTTAGGAAACTAGATTAACTAGTGGCTAAAGTCTTAGAGTTTTTAATGGCAAATTATACCAAAAGGATATATTAGGAGGAACATGATGCAGAGGTTAAAGCTAGAGAGTTTAAATAGATAGCTTCCTAGTTAGGTTATAGGTATAGTAGCTAGTATAGAATCTTAGAGCAAATTACAGTATAACCTGTCAAATCTGATATGTATGGTGGCCAAAATTTGTATCAGATTTGACAGGTTATCAGATTTGAAAGGTTAATGATTTACTAGTTATATAATAATAAATGATTATAATTGGTTAGATTATATTTATTATACTGTCAGCCCTCTCCAAACTGGTACGCATAGTGAACAGGTTTTGTATTGGCTTTGGGAGGTTATCGGATTTGAAAAAATCATGTAACAAGCTGATCACTAATTTACCAATCAAATTATGGAACCAAGATTATGTGTGGTAAAACCCATAGCACGTGATCAATAATACAAATTTTTTTTTATATGTAATACTGTATATGCCACAATCAATAATAATCACTACACCCGGAAGAGCCAGACAAAAACAGCCCTCTAATGTCTAATCTGAGTGTTGCTAGCTCTTGCAAAACCGTGTGAGCTGGGTAT